ATTATTGGGACAGTTTGTTTTCTCTAAATGTAGAATTCTGCAAAACACCCTTTGGCTGTGTAACAGGCTTGCACTTACCCAATCACAGAGGTGATGTTATCCCCCTCTAAATTAGACAAAAGAGTAGACACTGTAAACGCTAGACAGGGTTTTTGACTTAGTCAAAGGGCTATCTGGTCCCAGATAGTGTGAGTTTTAATTGCAAATATACAAGGTTTCAATCCAGTTATATGCTATTTTCTTTGGAGTTTGTGCAACAAGTCTTACCACCCCAATGATCTCAAGCAATGTGGTATTATGGAGATCTGATAAATATGAAGAAAGACTGTCAACATACCGTTGTACCAATAAATTGATAAAAGCTTGAAAAAATGCTGGTTATTTGAAACAATTAATCTTAATGTTTGTACAAGACGCTCCATTTCTTTATGAACATATAAACATTATGGTTAGCCTGCATTAGCTGAAATCATTTAAGATTTAAAGTAATCAAAGAATGTCTCTTTCCCAGACATTTAAAACATCCAAGATTGTATAATTTTCCAGAATTTTATCATTGACTTTTTCTCTTGTAGATTTTAATAACATTTGTGATTAATGGTTAAAACATACCACAGAAGTAATCCTGTGATTATTGTTTTATATTTTTGTTTTATATGTTTGTATAACTGGCTTATTGTAGTGCAAACTTTGTTGATTTCCAGAAGTTTGCACCTTGACTAGATTTGACAAGGTGAGTAGGGGAGGCTGTACTTGTGTGCAAACTGTCTAGGAATACGTAGGACACTTGGTTGACCATAAAGCTATAAAGTAATGGTCCCCAAGCCTAGTCCTAGAGGACTCCTATGTCTTCATGTTCTCACTGTAGCTGAGTTCTTAATCACAGGCAAACTGATTTCAGTTTTCACAATTTTACATTTGCTTACAGTCCTGAATAAGATGAAAGGGATTTGTTGTTGGTATCGACCATGTACTAATTTCTCATTTTATGGACTGCACAATTCAAGTGTTAAGTGTTAATATAATTAATCACCTACTAAGAGCTGCTTAGTCAGAAATGAGCAATTTGAGGAGAGTCTGCTTAAAGTTCTGTAAGCTAAAATTGCTTGAAACAATGCCACTGAAACAAGATCATTTTAAAAAAGTGCAGAAACAAACAACGTCTAAACAAGCAAGCAGATCAATTAATGGATTTGCACTGGAAATTAAAAGCTCAACTGAAAAGAAAACTGGCAGACAAAGTGGTCCTGAGGACCACTAAATAAAGAATAATGCTCTTATTTCCAATGTAAGGAATCAAAGCAAGCTTTTGGTGTATTTACAAAGAGTATCCTGTCACCCCAATGTCATTATAACGTATAAAACATATATTTTAAAGAAGACCTTTACAAAATAGTGCAATAGAATGAGGTGGAATTTCACCACCTCCTACTGTATGTATAATTACGTTACACCATACACATAATCAACATCTGCTAAATTACAATATGGTAATGAGTAAAGTAACACTTCATTGTGTCCATGTACACGACAGAACTGAATTGACCTTGTTTTTGTTTATTGTACAAAAATTAAAACAGGCCAGCAAATAGAAGAAAAACTAACATCTACATTAGAAGCATTCAAAAAGGGATAGAATTGTTTTGTTCTTCTCTTTCTCCTTCTTTAGATGGAGACCGATTTGGGAGACAAATGCAGGCATAAACAAAGGACAAAAGAGGTGAGAATAGGCACACAGCAGGGTGAGAAAGATTGTCCAAGTGAGGGAGAGGTGTGAAAAGCAGCAATCTGTACATGAATGGAGAGATTGTAAACAGAAATTAGTCAGTAGAAGAGGGAAGGTAAAATCCACATTTAAAGATAATCTTGGCTTTTAATGTCTTTCTGAAGTGGAGTCCTGCAATCCTTGTAAAAGAATGCAGACAAAAAGGTCAGTGAAATTATGACTGGGAGAGACAAAATGGAGACCTACTGGCTTAGAGAAATCTTTGATCCTCACTACTCACTACTATAATTCACTATTTCTTGAAATGGTCAGAGTGTCTCCTTCCTATTTCAGTGATGTAAATGCAACAGCATTTTCTGTGAAAAGATGTAATAAACAAGTTTACCAGATACACATGTGTTTGATTTTGAAACGCCCTGATGGGTCACATACTGTACATATGTGACACTGGATATGTATTAGCTGGTGATGCAATGACTTCTGACAGGAAGAGGTGCCTGGTGTGACTGGTCGCTGTGGGTGCTTAAGAGAACTGGAGACAAGAACGTTACATACTGTAGATAAGGTGGTTGGTAGTATGAAATGATACACATACTAGATGTGATTATTTTTTATTTTTGTTTTTTACAACAGTAAAACATTTTTTAAATACATTCAAATTGCAGTCCCCACAATAGTTGTGAGTTTCAGAGGGTATGTAGAAGCAGAAGTTGTAAAACCTTCTGATGGAAAAAAAAAACAAGATTCCCCAGGCAGATTACATTTAGAGAACTACACACATAAAGGAGGAAATGTCTCAAGAGTACACTCCCTCTTATTATGAAGATAAGCATGCAATGATACACTTCAATAACCTAAACTATTTTAATGCAAAAAAATTCTTGATACTATTTGAAAAAATGAGACACATTAAAAACTACAAAAGGTATTCTTAAAATGTCATTCTGATGGGTTTTAAATTGAAGGGCTAATTTCATATGAAAGCAAGAAGAAAATAAACACTGTACAATCCACACTTTTAAATACTATATATAAAGTGCAGCTGAGATTTGTTATTAATGATATGTTTTAGTGGTCCAAAAAGTCTTCTACTCAACTACACACAGGTTTAGGAATCCACAAACATTTAAAACCTCAATCAGCCAGATAATAATAATACAGTACATTTTAAGGAAAGAAGATATTTGATTTTTTTTTCCACAGAAAACGCTGAAAGACAAATACTTTTCTGGTAAAAAGCTGATTTAAAACAAAAATGTTATTAGACATGTAAAGCATTAATCTTAGTATGGAATGAGTAATGGAATGTTATGGAAATACTGTGCTACAGTATTTAATATCACGAAACTAAAATTTCATCCAGGAGAGTGCTTAGCCATTTTAACTTCAAATATGAGAAAGCAAATTATTAGTGGTTTAATCAAATTCACCAGAGCAAAACCATGCACAGTGGCAGGAATTCACAAACCTTTTAGCTGCAGAGGGCTCCTTGGTAAATGAGCAGTGGTTGAGAAAATGATAATGATGGTAGGAAAGTGGGCAGGAAAGAGTGCATGCCTAAGCCTCGAATAAACAAATAGCATGGTTAACGTTTAGGTTATGGAAAAGTCCTGTTGCTCCCTGACAAGATTTCTCCCTTTATCACATTTGACAAAGATGAGCTCTTCCAGTAACACATAAACCATTTCCAGACAGCAAGGAAGAGTACTGTATGCTTACATTCTTTGGAGAAATCCCAGGCCTCAATTTCAGCCCGATCAGCCTTCTGAGGACCATACATGAGGCTCTTCAAGACATAATCACAAAAAACAAAATACTCCATTTTGGAAATGAGAAAGTTGTTTGCAAAACAGTTTACTGTGAAACCTCATTTTATCAAACCATCTCATTGTTTTACATTTTTCTTGCAGTTAGGGTGCCTGTGGACTTTGCAGGTTGTGTTCCAGGGGGCATCAGTGTGCACTTCCAATCTCTTCAGATTGCTTACAGCTATTATTTTCACTTCACTGAGATTTGATTCAGTGTATCTTGAGTATAGCCCCCCTTTCATAATTTCACAGGTAGCCAATACAATTTACATAAGACTGGAGTTCTGTGTCGATGCAGATTACAATTCTTAGTACGTGCTATATAGTACCTTAGAAGACAACCTAATCTGTAAGGCATTACTTAACTAAAAGAAATACCTACCAATATTTATGTCAGATAGGCAGAACAATGCCAATGGCCCTCTCCATTGCTTCTGGTGACATTCGAGGCATTATGGAATGCACAGAAAAGTGTGGCCTTTTTCTTACAGTGACCTAAGCTTTGAATTAAGGCCTTTTTAAAGGTGACTTGATCAGGTATTGTTCCACCTGGACCTCATTGGGTAAAAGGGTACCTAATGAGCTTTTGTGTGATTGGCAAGTTGCAATACCTCACTGCACGAGCTGTATTGCTAGTCAGGGGGCTTAAAACAAACTGACAACTTTTTGTGAAAGTTCGTAAACTATAACTAGGATTCTCAATCCAGAAAATATTTTATTTTTTCTATCAGTATACTTCTAAATGTTGGCAAGTAAGGTGTATATGATATGAGATTAAAAAATAAAATTTAGATATAATTACCAGATAAGTATACTTTATGGTGAAACTAAATATGTAATTGTTTAAACATTTCATATAAATATTGAGATAATCCTGATGACAGTGACTGTGTTATGTGAGCTGCATATCTGTCACTTAAATTGTAAACAGTTGTGGTAATGCTAAATCTTAATAAGTAACGGGAAGACGATACAGAGATACAACGTCGCATCTAAAAATGGAGACGAAAGCCGTCTATGACGATCTGAAGAGGGTGCACCTTAATGTGACGTTTGTCAAACAAATGAGAATTATTTAACTGGCTTCTGGTTTCCTGAAATGGGATTCTGAACCAAGACAAAAAATAACGATTCCTTTGATATTACGACTACAAAAATGCAACGTGTAGTTGGGAAAGTATATATTCCCGTGTTGATTCGGAAAGTGAAGTGAGCTGTCGAATAGTCTTAACATTTGGGGGACTTTTATTTGCCCCAAACCACAAGTCAAAAACCAAAAATACACAAACTCAAATTTAACAACCTTAAGCGAATACAAACTGTCATCGATAGTGACTTAACGACTCTTTGTAGGGTATCTTAAGACGCCATAAAACCAAACGTACCCTATACTTCCCAAAAGTTACAAAGCAGCACCGCGTCACATCACTGAGACGGACAGGGTGGAACCTGGTGGCATGAACACGGTACCTCCAGCTGGTTGCATGAAACTCAAAATGCAACAACAAAGGAAACGCTCAGACACTACGCGCTTCCTTGGCTTATTGTAATACCAAATGAAGCATGACATTCACCGAGGGCAGAGGAGCTAAAACATTACGCCGCTGAGACACAGCAGATGCGGCGCAAGAACCAGACCGAGGGGCTCCCTGAAATGGGCGCGTGCCTGCCTGCTAAGACGCGTGCGCGAGCCCCAGCGTTTGAACAGGAAGCAGCAGCAGGAGTCGGTCAGTCGAGTGACTGAGAGGAGGCAGTCGGCGCTGGCTTACGGTCCGGGGCTGTATTCTCCACCCTCAAGAGGGGAAAAAACACTGATACGAGTTCAGTTAGATTAACGACGGGGAGTTGTAGATCACGTCTACTTTTTTTGTTTTGTGAAAGTCGCTCGATTATTCGTGTCGAGTGAACCGTTTCTTTTTTTGGTTGCCTGGAGTAGGGCGTGTTTGTGTTTTTTGTTTCCCGTGGACCACCCCCTCTTCTCTCTTTTTCCCCCGATTCTTGCATGTTTGTGCTGGACAGATTTAATTTTCCAACTTTCGTACTGCTGCGAGACGTTTCGGTCTGAGGATGGGGTGCACCTTAAGCACTGAGGACAAGGCGGCGGCGGAGCGCAGTAAAATGATAGACCGGAATCTGCGGGATGACGGAGAGAAAGCGGCCAGGGAGGTCAAACTGCTCCTTCTCGGTAAGGAAAGGAGGGTGGCAAACTTTTCGAGCTAATCGTGTACAGTTTGCTTGTGTTGCTAAGCCAATCCCGAGTTTCAGCTGACGGATCAACGTAGCTGAATGAGAAATTTTAATGAATGTGTAGATATATGAATGAATACTTTTTTTTAATGTCTGGAATCTCATATCTTTTTTTTTATGAAATAGCCCTTTTCCCCCCACTAAGATGACTACATAAGCAATGTAGGAGCAACATGTATAATTATCCTGGGAAGGGTCATTTAACATGCAACATCTATCGGTTTTGATGGTTGTTTTCCAAATTGGCGAAACGACTTTTTTTTTTTGTTCCTCCGTGCGGTAGTGGGGTTAGCTACTCGTGAGGCGTTGAGAAGAAACTCTGTGAATGCGACAAAAATGGCCACAAGAGGCTAATTCTTGCATTGATTTCTTTTGTGCTTCAGCCGTGCGGTTACCATTTTTGGGGAGGTCCAGGCGCCTTGTAGGAAGCTTGCGAGAGTGAAGGCAGGCCGAACTGTTTCAGAGGCCCACAAGCGCCTCTTGGCTTTATTTTTGCGAGAAAGGAGCTTTCAAAACCCACCTACCACCATTTCCTAGTGATGGGGCTTTGGTTGCGTGTGAAATTGCTTTCAGTAGGATTGAAACCTGTTGATTTGTGATATTGTTCCCCAGCTGATTCAAAATGGCACAAGTGAAACAGTTTAATTACCATTTAAATGGGGGAGATGTTTGATTATTTTTTTGTTTTACAGTAGTTTCCTGTCAGACGTCAGCTAAGCTTCCGTTATAGGCTCGGCGTTTGTATCTGTTCAGCTTTAAAATGTCTTTTGCAGTTGCGTCACACTGTTCTCTTAAAACTTTTTGGGTGGATGTGCGTATGCAGCACCTGATGTTGATTTTCACAGTCGCTGGCGAGGCACGAATTCAGCAGTTATTATATGGCTTAGAACAATCGTTGCCCACAAAATACATGTATTGTTTCCACTCACACGTCGTTTAATGGACTTGAATAGTATGTTTATTGGTAAATTACTTGCATAGCCATTGCGTGCACACAGTACTGAGTGCATGCAGCGATCTAGCCTATATACCTACACGGCAGTTTCAAAGATGCTAGCTTGGAGATAAAATTAATTCTTTGAAGTGTAGCAGTGGAAGAAGTCAGTGGATATTTTAACAGGCTCTCGCAAGTGGCACCTTTCGGATTTATATAGATAGCGCGTTTGACTGTGTACATTTTCTTCACAGCCCAAGTAGAAACAAAGGAACTGTACCTGTGCTTCTTATTCTAGTTAACAGTAGACCTCTCTTTCCTGGCCTCTTGTCTGTTAAAATACAACTTTAGTTTGGGCAAATGAGTACGAATAAAAAAAAGTGTCCATTGGAGTTGTAACTCGGAGCAAACTACATAACATTAATTGACGCGTTGTATTGAGTATAAAATATATCAGAAAGATAATTTGTTCAAGTGCGCATCTATAATGTGAAGCAACAATTTGAAGCAAATCTAATACTCTTCACTTGCTTGTCTTTCTTTTAATATTCATTAATTGTTTTTGGTAAGAATGCAACAGGTGATTTGCTGGATTTTAGATTTTTTTCTTTCAGTATAATTCAGCAAAAGAGCTTGTTTTGAATGAGAATTCTTCTAGATGATTGCTAACAAATTAACTATTGATGTAGCCTTTTTCCTAAAGATCTACTATATGTGATACTGGTATAGACCATTTTGAGCTTTTTTTGTAATTTTAAGAACACGTATCTTAGTTATGTGCCAGTCTTTAGTAGATTTTTGAGGAAAACATAATTTCTAATTATTAGACTACAAGAAAGTTGTGCAGAGAGAGATGGGCATCTCTTTTGGCTCAATGCTGAAGGCTTATTATTTTAATGAAAACTGACATCTATTTTGAATTTGCAGTCACGTGTTGAATATTCTTAACCACCTGTTGGTAAAGACGTAAAATTCATAGTTTCCTTTCTCCTGTCACTTGATCTATTGTAGAAATCTGTTTGTGTCCTCTAGCCTTCTGGAAAGAGCCATATGTTAGAGCTCAGTGTAATGTTGCATGAGCTATTCACCTTGAAAGTCAGAAGGTGTGTGCCGTTGCTGCTCTGATGCATTTGCGTTTCCAGGTAACATAGATAGCTAGTTCAAATTACAGGCCACATTGGTAAAGACTCAGCTGCACTAAGCGAATGAAACAAAAGTAGACTGAGATCAGTCATTTGCATTAAAAATTAAGTGGATGCTTTGCTGCTCTTAGCCAATCAGCATGTTGAAAATTATAAAGTCTGTGGTTAACTAGAATGAACAGGATTTAGAGATGCACTGTATCCTGACCTCATAAGTATCAGAGGATTTCTGTTTTTGTGGTTGAGGCATTGTCACAAATGCTACAGAAGATGTACCTTATTATGGTACTGTATTATTAATGTAAAGAGATGGATATTTGAACCTGTTTATGTAAAATGTAAAATCTTCATAAGGGTTCAGTTCTCTCACTTAGTATTCAGTATCGTGAGCCCACCATTAACACTTACAATGTAACAGTATGGCTTTCTGTGATGACATGTTGACAATTAGACTTTCCTGCACTGTCAAAGTGTCTGTAGGCCTTTCAGGATTAGGTGTCATGTAATTGGTTTGGACTCACTCTGTACAGCATTTGTTCAGATTATACAGCTTTGTTGTGAAGCTGTTATTTGTAGTTGATATTGGGTTTTAAGGACTGCAGTATTTTAGATTTCAATGTTTTGAATTGGAGACCTTGGACCACACTTGCAGCACCAGAAAAAATAATCGGTAAAAGAATTTTAGCTTGATACATCTCATGTTTAATATAAATTAATAGTTCCAAAAATTCTTAATGCGTATCCCTAATTACCAAGTGTTTATGTTCTGTACATCCTTAGGTAAGGTTGGATTTATGTAAATTGGGAAACACTTATAGCATACATGTGCACTTATAACTGTTATTACAGCACTGTGATATAATGTTACAGCTTTACTGAATATTGCAATATTATGATATGCCATACAATACATTAATAATAAACTTAATTCAAGTAAAAGGCATTGCAAAAATATTTATCTTAATTCCTAGTGTTGGCTTGCTTTTCACAATACTAGAATGCTTTTTATTTGTGACTGAAAGGGTTACACTGGAAAAGCAGTGGAAATTATTCCAGACTATGTACACATGAGAGAAGATATGCACACAAGGTAATGTGGGACAAGACCATAAACAACTTTAATGAAAAATCTAGGAGTACCTATGTTAAGATGTGGATGATTTGCTATTTCAATTTTGAAGGAGGGGTGATTTTTCATTTGGAAATCACAGAATGCATATGTAAAGCTCACATGGATTTAATTTATATTCTTAGGGCTTACGTCTTAAGTAGTTCAGGTGGGTAGCTGTGTCAGCATGCGTAGGCTGCAAAGGAACAAGTAATAGGTTTATTCCATGCTGAAAAAAAGAAGAAAGAGAACATGTTTCAGCTGTGGAGCCTTCTTCAGGTGTGAGAGCTTACATCTTACGTCATACAATAAGGCTTACGTCTTAATCCTTGCACGTCTTGTCTCTTCGAAGCTGGATGTAAAAAAATCACTTGGTGTTATACTTGTGCATTTTGGGGTTATGCCTCTTACTATTTCATAATACAAGATTTAAGTATTACATGTAATTTAACCCTCCAATGCACCGGTTTCTTTATTTCAATATTGCGGTAGGTTTCTTTTTTATTATTCCTATTATTTTATTTATGTATTTTAAATTTTCATTTCTTCGTTTTTAAGTAATCTGACTATATTTTATGGTTTTATGTTATGTTGTGCCTGATGTCTTTGTTACTGTTTTTATTGTTTTATTGTTTAACTGTCATGAACACATGGGAAGCAAATTCTTAACTAAGTTGGTATGGCAATAAATATTGAATCTTAAAAAGAAATTCCCCTTTCTTGCTACAGATAAAAACTACTTGCACCATGCCTCAGCACTGTAAATGTAAGTCAAAGTGAAACCTTTGGACATCTAACATGAAATATTGAGTGTTCCTTTTTTATTATGCAAAATCAGTGTTTTTCTTTTACTTGAAGCTATTTGCACAATGTAAATTCATACTATGCATCATCCTAGAATCTGTACCACATTACACTTCAGAAGCTTTCAAGGTTTTGTATTTTTTGTACATAAAAGTAATTGTGCTGTTTCTGCTGCACATTTTGTTTTTATTTCTTCTTTGTGCTGTACAATATCAGCTGCAGTGAGTTATCATCTTGTTGCCAATTCTTAATCCTACTGTTTTCTTAATTCTTATTAAACCAGTCTAGGCTTTCTTTAGTCATTCTTTTCATGAAAGTTACTTTGTGTCTTCACATAGTGCTGTTTTGTAAGACCAGTAACTTCCTGACCAATGTGCTGACACTGATGTTTTAGTATGTAGGCTTATTTGTCAATTGCAGTTCATATTTTTGCTTCTGTTCTGCTTGAAATTGTGACGTAATGTGGTTTATTTTTCAAACTTGTTCTTGTAGAACATAATTACCTTAATATTAGGTAATTGGTATTTCTCATAACACTGTTGCGATGGTTTTCAAAGTATTTTTCCAGTGTGAGGTTCACCAATCAAATTTTCTATCAGGAAAATAACATCGATCTAATTTTACTACATAAAAGTGGGGAAAAAACCTTTAAAATTGTACTGTCCAAAAATATACGAGACACTTCTTGCATGACTCATTATAGACAAAATAAGAATTACGTCGTTAAATGAACTCTTTAGCAAAATAATTTTTTATTCACCAGATCTTTAGATATTCTAGAAAACTAGATATTAGATTATCATACTAGATTCTCGATAATCTTGTATTTTATAATGCTAAGAACTTAACATATTATACAGTAAACAGTACAAGCCCTTGTTCTTCATTAGCAGTAATACAAAACTTGAAATACAGCTGAAATATTTCACCACCATATGAACGGTGAATAC